ATATATATATATATATATATATATATATATATATATATTTAATGATCATTCCACGACTTGTTCAATGATTCCTAACAGTTGTGAGTATATGTAGACTTACGGTTATCATTTGAATTTCAGGAGCTAAAGAGTTTCTCATGTCTATTTCTTGGGGAAGTCGTGTCAAATAACCTAGCTTTCTTTTCTTCTTTTCCTGGGGTGAAAACTGAGCTGCATATGCGGATGCTTATTCTGATAATATTAGGCTACTGGTTGGTCCAGCACACCATATAAAACTAGGCCCAAATCTCATAAGTCTATTTCCTTTCAGCTTTGTCCTTTGAAATCAACAACAACGACAACAACAAAGACCCAGTAAAGTCCTACTAAGTGGGATCTGGGGAGGATAGTGTGTACGCAGACCTTACCCCTACCCCGATAGGGCAGATAGGTTGTTTCCGATAGACCCTCGGCTCAGGAAGATGGAAATAAAACAAGAAAACAAGAAAAGACAATTCATCAGTAACGTCAACATAACCATAGAAATAATGACAGCAACCTAAAAACCATAAAATAGATGACATGCAATAACAATAACTCGCAACTAAGGTCCAGAGCTATGGAAAATAGTAAGGTTAGTGTGAACTCTACATTAACCACAAGCCGTCTAGGACCAACCTACTCAAACTCGCTACACCCCCGGAATGGAGAAGGAGAAGCTCGACTACCACTCTACCCTACAACCCTAATGTTCGACCTCCAGACATTCCTATCAGGGGCCATGTCCTTGGGAATCTGCAATCGTGTCATGTCCTGCCTGATCACCTCTCCCCAATACTTCTTAGGCCGTCCTCTACCTCTTCTCGTACCCCCTAAAGCCAGCAGCTCACACCTCTCACCGGAGCATCCAGGCTTCTCCTTCGCACATGCCCGAACCATCTGAGCCTCGCTTCCCGCATCTTGTCATCCACAGAGGCCACATCCACCTTCTCCCGAATATCTTCATTCCTAATCTTATCTATCCTAGTGTGCCCGCATATCTACCTCAACATCCTCATCTCAGCTACCTTCATCACCAATCACCAACTTAATAAACATTAGTGTGTCATGCACCCGCCTAACCTCAACTACCGACTCTCTAAGGTTCCTATCCACCAAGATATCCACTCCATTCTTACCCCTCACGACTCCAGAGTATCACAGCTTATACCCGTCCACATTCCTCGCCTTCGACCCTATCCACCTTGTTTCCTGGACGCAAGCTATATTTACTTTTCTCTTCTAGAGAATCTTCGCCAGCTCAATAGACTTACCCGTCAGCGTGTTCCATGACCCGATCCTCAACCTACAAGCTCCNGACTACGGACAAGCACTAGCACAGAATAGGACCCAACTAGAAGGTAACAAGTAGCAACTACAAGTGCTCTAATAATATGCTTAAAGTAATGCTAACTAGATTGGCAGAATTTAACTATCACAAAGAGATAAATAGGAAAGCGGGAGGTACTAACTCCCAACTAGAAGAACCTAAAGATATGACTTGGTGCACACCCCAGGTCACGGAATTCGCGGTGCGTCCTTCCAAATCTCACCAGCCTTTGCACCTACCAACCAGGAATGCTCCTCTTGCTTTCTCGTACGCCTCACGCTCATATCGACCAATGCAGCTAGTTCCCTGCAAAATCGCACACAACCACCACGAAAACAATAGGGGAGGGGGTGGGTTGTCAACCTGTCGCCGCTGCACCAGCTTAGTTCCACAACATCCCAGGTTGTCCAACTAAACTATATGGAAGACCGCCACCAAGGGCAACGGAGATGGTCGACGAGTCTAGGTATCCAACACAGAGGAGATGAAGGGGTGGGGGGTACAGACGACCTGGACAGACGCGAAAAGAGAGGGGTGTTCGCCGACTAGAGGTCGCCGACGGGTTGCTAGGGTTCGTGCTTTGGGAACTAAAATTTGGGCACAAGAAAGGCTGGGGACACGAGCCACAGGGAAAGGGAGAAGGGCTTAGGAGAATAAGAGAGAAGAAAGGAGAGAGAAGGCCACAGCTTTGAGAGGAGTCAAAATAAACAAAGAAAAACTTACGGGCGAAGTTCCACGTCTCAGGGAACCCTGCCGGGTCCGCTAAAAAGTGCTCAGTTTGCACGTAAAAATAGCTTTCCCAGAAACGGCAGTTAGCCTTGTCGTCCATCTTAACCACCAAACTCTTTGTTCCTCGGTGGCGCATGTGGAGCATCGTGCCGCGAATAAGTTGAGGGGCAAAAATATTAAGCATGTGCCCCAAAGTGACCCCTCGGCCAACGACCTCCGCATACTTGAGCAGCATGAGGAAGAGTTTGTACACGTCCGATGAAAGCTAAGCCGGGCACACTTCATTGAAGCGGAAAAACTCTATCACTAGGAAGGGGAGAGGAAGCGTATACCCGACAATAAAAGGGTACGCGTAGAATGTGCAATACCCTGGGCAGTGAAAATGAACAATGTCCGTCCCCGTTGTCGGCACCATTTCAATATGGTTTGAAATTTCCCACTTGGTCTTGAGCGCCGCAATCGCCACTTCATCCATGGTAGAGGGTGCAGGATCCGGTTCTTCTCTAGCAGGGCTGTTGAAGTGAGTCCATAATTTCCCCGGACGGGGCAATATCTCAGCCGCTGTTGGAACTCCCTCATCTTTCGCCGCCTCCACTCCCTCTCTA